CCCGGCGTGGGGCGCGGGGCGGGCGGCCTGGGCCCTCGGGGCCGGTCCTGCATCTCCCAGCGCCCGACCCCGCACCTGCTGTCAGCATGGCTCGGAAGCGGACATCAGGACGGCCGCCCCTGACCTTCCCCCGGGGTGCGTGAGGCTCAAGCGCGTCACCTGAGGGCTGCTCCAGAACCTTCCCTGCTAGACGAACCAGCCCTGCGCCCTTCCATGAGAGGACTTTGGTGGCTGTGACCAGCCTGCGACCGTCAGTGGCCGGGAATTTGTGTCAGAGAAGGGGGAAGCCACTCGCAGGCATTGAGTCAGACCTACTGTGTGCCGGGAGCTGCTCTACACGCCCAGTCACCACCATGAGAACTGACATAGGTCGGCCACATGCCCCACGCCAGCCACACGCGGTCGGCTCATTTAACCTCCACAGAACCTGGAGGGGTGATGGGGTTTTATTGTCCAATCTTACCAGCGAGGAGGTCAAGGTACACAGAAGAGAGGGGACTTGGCCACAGTCAGTCGACCGGTCATTGAGACACAGGGCCCAAGCCCAGGCTGCTGTCCCCTGGTTTGTGTCCTCTCCCTGTGCCTAGCTAACTCCGTCCATCACCACAGCCGTGAAGCATGTCCTTAGTCTCACGCGGAGAAACCAAGGCTTGGGGGGTCGGTGTGTGGCCGGGACAGCTGCTCAGGCGGACGCGGCTCGAGCTCCACTTGACTCCAGAAACCCAATACATCACTCTACCTCCCTGAGGGGTCTGAGAACCACGTGGAAAGTTACAGGAAAACTCGCCAGCACCGTTATGTAGCAACTTAAATGTCCCAAAGGGAAGGGTGACCATTCTTGCTGGTAAGGGAGATGATTTCAGAGGGCAGAGGGACATAGCATGAAAAACATTGACTGATATATTGCAAAGTCATGCCCGTTTTATATTTTCATCCTTAGGCGTATATCACAGAGGCTGTCTGTTCGGTGCCTCCCACCAAGATAGGGGCCCCATCCCAGGGGACGCAGACCTACCGTCCTGTCCGAGAGCCACCTCGCCCCGCTGGCTTCCTCACCTTCTGTTTGGGGCCACGGGGACCCTCCAGCCTTTGATCTGGCTCAGCTCCGTGTCCGAGATCTCTATCTGCAAGGGGAGTCTGGGGGCCCACACGGTGACCTCCAACTGCGAGGTGAAGTGCTGGTGGGTGAAGTTCACGATCGTGTCCACTTTGCTCTTCATCTCCTTCCCATTCACAAAAACGGAATCGCAGTGGTTGGACACCTGTGGGGAAGGTTCGGGATCCCGAGATGCAGCAGCAGGAAAAACACAGGCGAAAGCTGACGGTGGCAGTTCATGAACCGCAGGGACTGGGACTTAGGAGATGCCGAGACAGCCAGAGCATGACTTGAACAGAATGTAATTTGTAGGCACTAATTAGTGACAAATACTGATAAACAGACTCCAGGAAAACCATTTCGCATTACGAAATACTGATGAGTAAAACCATGAACGTAATTTAATGGAGTTACAGAACCTTTGTTGCCTCTTTGTGTTTTTGTCTGCCTCACCTTTTATGTACTCAAACCACCACTAAACAAAACCCAGGTGAGACATATGTCACTCTGGCACCATATTTGAAGAAGCATAAAAGGTAGCCATATGTTACTTAAGAAAAATACTCAATTTATTCAAGCCGTAAAGAGGATCTTTTCTGAAAACCAAGAGAGCTTTGCACTAGATTAAAATCCTGATGGGAAAATACTCACGAAATGCACTAAAATGTGGATATAATTATTTTGTATCATTAAAGTATAATTTTGCAGAGCAGAAGCCAGGATGGAGCATTTTATGGCTTTGGCTCGGCTCGTGTGGTATCCTTTTGACGTGCATGCATTAGCGGGTTACGGATTAGCCCATCGAAGCCCCCATTTCAGATAAACGAGTAAAATGCTGATGGCGTTCTCTTCTGTGCCATCGGGAAAGCGTCGATTACTTATCCATGTGTGTGTCGGGGAGGAGCTGGGACTCAGGGTCACTTCATGGGCAGAAGACACAAAGTCAACAATCAGTTCACCACAGAATCACAAACTGCGAGGGGTCCATGACCTCACTTTACAGATGAAGAACCTGAGGCCAGCGATGGGACCTAACTGGCTCGAGGTCGCACGCCGCATTTGGGGTGACCCGCGGGCTGCTGGCAGGGCCCCCGCACTTGGCCCTGAGTGCCTCCAGGCAAGCCCCAGACGAGGACGCATTCTGGACTTCGTCTTCCTCACCACGTTTGTCCCTGCAGCCCAGGCCTCCCTCCCACGCCCCAGACGCGCCCGTCCACCGGCCTCCTGGTCCGAAGTGCCAGCGTCCAAACTCGCAGAGCGAACTTCCACGTTTGAGACAAATTACCATCAGCTCCACCGATGGACAAGGGGCGAAGAAGACGCAATATACAGATGAGACACAGAGAGATGCAGATGGTATCGATGTACCTGTCGCTATAGATACACAGTGAAATATCACTCGGCCATAAAAAAGAATGAAATCTTGCCATCCGCAACAATGTGGATGCACCTAGAGGGTGTTATACTGAATAAGTCAGACACGGAAAGACAAATATGATATGATTTCATTTATACGGAGACACTAAGGAACAAAATAAACAAACAAAACGGAAACCAACTCATAGATACAGAGAACAAACTGATCGTTGCCAGATGAGAGAGGGATCAGGGAAATGTGGGGGGGAAGTGAAGGGATTTAGAGGTATAAATTGGCAGTTATAAAAACAGCCACAGGGCCGTGAGGGACAGCAGAGAGGATATAGTCAGTAATATTGCAATAACTGTGTGTGGTGCCAGGTGGGTACCAGACTTACGGGGTGATCACTTTGCAAGGTATAGACACGTCTAATCTCTATGTGGTACACCTGAAACTAATACAATATTGTATGTCAGCTATGATGAAAATATGAATTTAAAAAAATGGTAACTCCTTTAAAACATTTGTTATTAAAGGAGATGCTGAAACCTCTCCATGTGTCCCCAGTCACAGCCACGGCTCCTTGTCACTCCCACTTCGCAATGTCACACGTCTTTAGGAGTCTTTGAGCAGAGTCGACCGAGGCCACTCATGAAGAAATGGGATGCTGACTGGGTGAGCCTGAGCCACGAGGCGCTGAGCAGGTGCTGGAGGGTGACGCGCATCAGGCCAAGTTCACTTTGGAGCCCCTGCCCCGCCCTGTCGGAACTAAAGAGTCCAGTGTCGTCTGCCCTGCAAGGCCAAGGGCAGCCACGATGTGCTGTGTGTCAGACACTGGGTACGGGTCAGCTAGGGACCAGTTTGGTGGCTCGTCCTCAAGTCCAAGGAGAGGCAGCTGGGAGTAGCAGCTCGGTGCCTCATACTGAGGTCCGGAGGTGGCCCTTGTGACACCTCTCCCCTCCCGACATCTGGATAAGTCACTCCCCAACCTCCAGGGCCCAGACTCTGCAATAAATTAATTTGCACCTCACCAGCACTGGAGGTCATCGCGAGCCCCCATTCTCTGAAGGGGACACCCTAATTCGGTGTTGCGAAGTCTAATCTTGATGGCTGGCACTCGGCTTCGTTCATTTTTATCAGTTCTTGGTCATGCAGGTTGGTCTGGCTCCCACGGTTGGCCCGTGGCTGGGATGGGTCCCTTCTCCGCGTCTCTGAGGCAGCGTGCCTATGGCCTGACTGTGCGGCCTCCCAACAAAAGCCGGCTGGCCGCTGTGGCTGCACCGAGACCACCGTGCTCCCTCTGCGTCTCGTCCTCGGCAAGCAACCTCATCACAGCAGCGCCCAGCCTCGGCACTGACCGAGAGAGACCTCGGGCCTCGTCTCAGGGAGATGAGAGCGAGGGTGGGTGCCCATCTTCAAGGCACGAGAGGTCACTCGAGTCAGAACTTAAAACTCGGGGCCAGTGATGAACGCGGTGGGCTCTGGGCAAGGACTCTGGGGACACAGAGCATATCCGAGAGTCCCCACTCACGTACAAAACGCTGTCAGATACGGTGACAGGTGCAACAGTAAGGTCCACAGACTGCTGACAGGATGGCCGGGCCTCCCTGGCCATCTCCTGTCCACCTGAACGACAGCAAGGGATTGCCACTCACCCGAGTCTGAGCGTCACGCTGGACCATCTGACACCCGTGTCCCATCCGACCTCACTGCTCCCCCACCCACCCAATGGCACAAGTACCAAACACAGACCAGCTGCATGCTGCTTATGGGCCTCCACGGAGAAATGGAAAATATTCTGGTCCCGCCCCCCTTCCACCGGGAGAAAGATCTCTCTCCCAGTCACATTCAGCCAGGTTCGGTTCTGCCCTTGCCGACAGCTGCCTCCGAGGTAAGGTTTCTTCCCTTACCACACGCCAGCAAATCAGGCCCGAGATGACAATCTGGTGTGAAGTTTAGCACATACTAATCCATAGAATGTTTTCTTTTAGCCTTTCATCCCTTGACCCCAGGGGTTTTAAAAATGCCACCAGCACTTGTCAGCTTAGGGGAAGGTCCAAGTCCCTGGGAGTCATCAGCAGCAGGTGTGGCCGGCTGCCTGCACAGGCGCTGATGGCCGACCAGAGCCTGTGGAGAGGGTGCCGCTAGCTGGGTCCCCCTGGCCTGGGTGCTGGAGCCGACGCCTAGGTGTTCGCACCTGAATTAGTCACATAAAAGCAAAGCGTTTGGGCAGGATCGACATATTCTCAGGGGGATGTGAGATCTCTAGGGTTTGTGTTTTCCAAACATTTTGAAAATTTCTTTTAAGAAACTTTTCTATCCAAGGATGCGAATTGTGCGCTCCAGGTATAAAAACCCACAGCGGCTCCGAGAGTCCTCATCTCTGAGACTCCAGGCGAAGAGAAAAACTAAATGGACTAGATGCCCCCACCGGCGATCACGCCCCAATCGGAACACAGCCAAGAGGGACCCCGAAAGGCCAGAGCTGAGAAAACCCAGCAGAGTGAGATTTGCTCGCTGCCGCCAGGAGAGGGCTAGATGTCCAGACCCATATCCAAGGAGAGCTCCGGTGGGGGGTACCCGCGACCCGGGGCCCGGCCAGGCTGAGCGAGTCACGCAGGAGGCTCGATGACAAGCAGTGCTTCTGCAGCTCAGCAGTCGGCACGTGCACCCCTCCATCAACCTCGAGACCTTGCCGGCAAGGCGCGCGCTCACTGGAACCCCGGACTCAAACGTCGGGTCTGAACAACTGAGAAGCCGCCCGTGGTGGAAAGCGGTTCTCACAGTAAACGACCCAGCTTTGTGAAGACCTCTACGGACACTGGCGACAAATCAAAATCGTGGCATCCGATGCACTGTTCTAATACGTCTCACCTGAGACAGCTAGTATATCTAATACACGTATAACAAACAGGGCGCAGGTTACCGTACGTTCATCCCTATTCCTTTTAGCACGATGGGCCAGGGATGGAGCTTCGTGGGGGTTGGGGGGGAGGTTGGGGGCAGTGCTGGTGGGAGTTGACTCAACAACCAAAAACCCTTCTGATCCCGGGAGGTGACAAAATAAAGAAGGTGACTCCGCTGTGCATGGCAGGACAGCTGGGGACTGCGGCAAACTCGAGAGAGCCAACCCAAACCTCGCTCGGGGGGACAACTCTAAAAGGGACAGCCGCCACCCACCGAGGCTCCTCGTAGCCACGCAGGGATGTGGGACTGTGTTTGGAGAGCTTGTGACTTTGCGAGAGAAACAGGAAATTCAGAGTTTGGGTGAAACTGACTAAGTTTGAAGCATGAGCATCTAAGCGTATATTTTAAAGTCCTTTCCTGGCCGCGCTGAGCACATTTTGGTGGCTGTGCTTTCCTCGGGACTTGCCACTCAATGGCCAGTGGCCTGAGGCCACCCTGATGTACACGTACACGAGACCTGTGCCCCGGCGCAGGCGTGTTTGGTTTCTGTTTCTTCCCCCTACAGTATAACAGCCTTCCAGGCCCATGTTGTGGCCTCATTAGCGTCATGCTCTTCAGTCCTTACGAAAACCTTTCTAGCTCCGCACAGACTCGCCCAGAAGCAGGAAGCAGGCTCCTGTCCCCGCTCCGGGTAGCAGGAAGGGGGCCGATGAGCGCGGTCCGCGCGGGCGTGGGCTGGGGGTGGGGCTCAGTACAGGTTTTGTTTCCTCGATGTTATTCATATCAAATTTAGGAAATGAAAATTCTTTTGCCCGACGTGACCGAGCAAAGCCCGTCCTGCCCCAGGCAGAGCTGCGGTG